GAAGATAAAAAAAAAAAAAAAAAAAAAAAAAAAACACGCCTGAGTGCGCCTCTTAGGGGCGCGTGCGCAAGCCACCTGTGTGGGAAGGGAGAGCGACAGGAGGCGAGGTGAAGGGGGTGCATAATCAGTGGGGGTGCATCAGAGGGGCGCATAATCAGTGCTGTCTTTCTGTTATTGATCATTTTATGCTGTTAAATATAGAAAATTACAACTAGAAAAAATTCTTTTCTAGAGGGGTTTTTTGACGCCCCCTCGAGTGCAGCGCCCCTATGCGTTGCATGCGCTGCATACCCGGTTTTTGCACCACTGGTCAGGACATCATGATTCCTGATCGGGAGGTGGCCTTGGGAGGCTGATCGCCCCTCGTAACCCCCTGTACACTACATGACTCACGACGCACGATCAGGCTGAAAGTCAGCCTGATCGAAAGATTCTCGCATGACTGGAAAATTGTCCCTAAAATTGCACAGTGTACGCCGGGCTTTATTTTCCATGATCATCTGACAGGAGATAATATGAGTGAGTCACTTGCCTGGTTCAACAGTTCAGTCCATCTCCTTTTAAATAGCTGCGATCCAGCCGAAGGGCTGCCAACGACACAGGAATAAAACTGACCATCCCCACGTTCCAAGCCAAAACCCTGAGGGCTCCGCAGAGAAGGACCAGGACACGATAAGAAGAGAGGACAAAGACCAAAACCCTCTCAACCCACTAGCCGCCAGGAACCAGGACACAAACATTGGAACTACTTAAAGTAACAAAACATACAATGATCTGCCCCCGAAAGCTGGGCTGAGCTGAAAATAAAGCAAAATCAGCAGGTGGATGAGATGAGTGATAATTAGGAGCCAGGCAGAGTTAAGCAGGAGAATGACATGAACAATTAAGGCCAGCTATCAGGGTAGGTCATGACAGTACTTTTGCCTCAGGTATATTGACATTGTATTATTGAGTATAAAAATTAGGAGATGAGAAAGTATCATGAATTGACAATTGTTTAGTGAATGAGGCAGAGGAGTCTACCTTTTTTTAAATCAAAATAGATGATAGAGAAACCAATTTTGACAAAGGAAGAAGTTGGGAATGCTCTTAAGGAGTTTGTCGGTGGCTTTTAAAAAAAGCCATAAAATGAGTTTTCAAAAAAGTTAAAAAACGATCAACTGGACTTTGTTCTCAAGTTTGAAGATAATCCCAACCAGGAAGCTTTTTCAATTCACAATGTCATAAATAGCGTTGAGTTTAAGGTTTTATAGAGTGGACCAAAAACAAAACCTTGTTTTGTCTTAGAAAACACACAAATTGAATTGGAAGAAAAGGTCCGCCCCTTAGGAATGGGCAGTCGTTTGGGTTCTCTGTTAGCCTGGATTGCCCGATACCCGTCTATGTCTCTGAAAGGGGGGTCCTTAGGGGGAATTGTTAGCCTGGCTGAACAGACGAGATCTTCTGTTACCCTGTATGGGGGTGGGGGTTGCGATGATAGCATGAAGGAAGCTGAAACCTGAGTCCACCCCCTCTGTTAAGGTTGTTTTTTCTTTCTTAACA